TTCATGCGACTCGCCGAATGCCTCATGGCGCTTCGCGCTTGGTGATGTGAGGACCTGGTCCGGTGAGAACCCGGCGTGCTCCGTCCCGGCTTTGTAGGGATGCGAAGTCAATGGTCTAACGACTACGGCATGCACGACTATGAGTACACCACCCCCCACCACCGTGTTTCTGACGTGGATGTGCAGCAGTGCAGCCGAGTCATCATATCCATGGGTGTCTTGAGATGGGTTTAGTGTGGGTTTACGTGGGTCATACAATGAGGACGTAGCAAACCTTACACATTTTTGAAACATTAATACCTATCCAAACTGTTGAGTGCACATGGCAATGAGTATGCTTTACATAACGCACCCTTGGAAGCGTTCTGTGTGACCACGGATTGGCGCTCCTTCCCGGCAGAAATGCTGTGAGCTGTGAGCGCTGACATTGAGTGACAAGCAAAAGAAAAAACTCTGAGTTCGGTCGGTCATTCGTAGATATTGCAGACTTGCGAATTCTGTCCCAGTGTGTGTATACACGTGATGTTTTGCGGTGTTTGCGCACAAGCCATGGATGTCGCGTGCGGCAAGCGTCTTGGCGTTCTTCCCCCGCCGTGTGAGCATGGCTATGTCCGACAGATATTGTACTAAAACCGCAGCAATCAAGCGTAGAGAAAACGAAGAACGCCGATAGGTGCAAGTTGCGATGGTCAGATGAAGACGTCTAACAAGACTGCGGGCGTATGTTATTTCCGCGCCTCGATCACCACATACTCAACGGCCCAGAACGCATTTCTCATGGAAAAGCAGGAGACTACAACCTTAATATTGCTCATGCGTAGTCAGATACTTTAGTACTTTACTCATCCTTGAGTATACCCTTAAGTAAGTATTTGAAAGATGCTCAACAAATATTAAAGCCTTTCAGTAAGTATTTCGAAAATACTCATCATCCGAGTAAGTAAGTATTTCATGACTACTTAGCCGTACTCACCAACCGAGTTTGAGTATTCTTACTCAAAATACTCTGAGTACGGCGCTTAGTAATACTTTACTAAAGACACGCTTGAAAGGTTCCTCTCGCGCCACCCCGTCTGCCATGCTTGTGTTGCATTTGTAACGCGGCACTCTCTTCCCTCAAAGTGTATCAACGAACTAATACACACGTTGCTGTGGATAGAAGGATTGAATCGGGTGGCGTCATCAACGATGTGCTCGAGGTGAGCGAGATCACCGAAGGCTGGCATCCAACGAACATCATTCTTCAAGAGTTGATCATGAAGGTTATCGGCGGGAGCTGTGCAGCTGAGAAGAGGTCTGGTTCATCAGGAATCGGTGCTGGAAAACGGTCGTGCGGTGTGTACAAGACGACCTCACACAGCGGTGAAGATCACCACCAGAAACACACGGAGGCCCGCAGCCAGAGAGGTGGAACAACGCATTGTCCTGCGGTGCCACTGACGGTGAAAAATAACGGTCCTGGACTTCGCCAGCGGTTGGAAAGAGTTCAGGGAAGATGTTCTAAATTTTGCGCCGTGTACATCAACTACATCGACATGAAAAGGTGTGGAGCCAAAGGTCACCTGGCAGGGATTGCCCGAGACACAACGCTCTTATCTGGAATCATCGCAAGGGGGTGCTGGGAATATATTTCTGGGACTACTACAGCCCTGCCGCTTGGACACCGGAACTTTGAGTCGCTTTGACAGGAAGCCGGACTCGATGGTTGGGGTATCATCTTCGAGATCGGACGGCATCTATCTACAAAAAATATATAGAAATCGCTCAGGGTTGGTAGGAATGCATTTCTGGAACGCCTACAGCGCTGTCGCTTGGACGCCGTGAAATCGCCGGGTGCTTTTCGACAGAAAGCCGGGATCAACCGTCGGGGAACTGTCTCCGAGTTTGGACCGCAACAAGGACAAACGCTGGGGGTTGCTGGAAAGACACATTCCGGGACCCCTGCAGCGCTGTTGCTTGGACACCAGAACATCGGGTTGCTTCGACAGGAAGCCGGGATAAACCGTTGGGGACATGTCTCCGAGTTTGGACCGCCACAGGGGTCGCTGGAAAGACACATTCCGGAATGCCTACGGCTAGGGTTGCACCAGCATCCACAGGGCAAGATCGCCCCACTGAACGCCATGAAAAGGTGTGGGAAAGGGCAGGAGAGAGGCTTCGGACGCTGTTGGTATATTTTTGTAGAAAGCATACATGAACATGCATCAAGCAAATGTAGTAGTAACGTGTTGTGAACACGGGCAGGTAGGCGCAACTACGGTATTTATATTATTTGTCGGTTTCCGAGGAGCTGCGAGCCCGAGAGGTTCTGTAGAAACTAATGCTCTATGCGTCGAAGCTGCGGGTAGGTGTTGGTTTAGCTGAAGAAGCATTGATCACCCAACGTAGCGAAGCAAGAGCGGTTCATGTGTTGAGTGAGCATTATTTAAGGGGTAAATCAACCTGTGCTGCCAAACGTCGTATCACTCCACACGTCAAAGCGAAGGCAATTCGCCAGAGAGCAGGCAGAAATGTTTTTTTGCCAAGTCAATTTCGGCATGAGTACATTTTTTTAGCAAGTCTCGTAGCACCAAGAATCGGTCGAGCGAGCAGCGTTCGATTCTTGAATCGCATGGATGATGGTCTAGGTTACTCCCGTCGAGGGGTCGCGTCGGGGATGTTGACGTGTCCAGGTGGACAATAACCAAGTTTACCAGGGACATGTATACCCATGTTAATGGTAGGACTGGCTATCCCCTCTGTGTTATCTGTCGGCAACATAGACCAGTTCCAGTAGTGCTTGCCCTTCGCCAAAAAATAAGGTTCCCGAAATGTTCTCGGTATGGTTCTGGTTCTGTTGTGCAGGGCACCTCCAGCAGTGCGACACCTAAAGCTTTATTCCGAAGCAACCTAGCGGTAACCGTGGCACGTGCCTCCTAACAACCTACCCCTTACCCCCTCTTGCGCTACGGCTTAGCTTACACGTACTGCAACGTAACGGTTTCCTGTTACGGCAACCTACAGTAGCTTTCGCCGTTGAGCAACGTAGCGCTAGCGCTATCCGTGCACAGCAACCTAGCTTTTACCCCTTTTTCGCCGCGGTTAGCCGCGACCCAGGCTTACTACGGACAGGGACCAGCGCTTCTCAGCGTATCGCTTTGGGTCGGGTTGTTTGCGTTGGGGTTAGGGATATAGGGTTGAATCGGTGTAGAACAAATCTACAGCAACTCAGGTTAGAAACAGGAATCAGTAGCCACGAAAGCAAGAGACTATCCATCGGGGTATTTTTCTCCTCCTCCATCCCCGACCCCGGCCCGGCTGTGCCTCGGGCTATTTGCCGCAACTGCGGGGTTGTATCCGGGAAGTTTTCTAGAACATTTTCTTTGGACAAAGTGCTAAGCACCCCTCTGGGTCGAAGTTCGTCGGCAATCATGTTGACTGCCTCGGACCGCATCGGCGCGTGTGCCAGAACCGAGAAAAAAAATAGTCAGTTCTAGTTTAAACATGACGCATGAACGCACCCGTGTGGTCTGTGGTAGGCCTGAGAGAGGAAGTGCGCCTGTTTTGTTGTAGTTTACATAGACTTTGTCAACGTGTGTGTGTACACGTGAACGGTAACAAATATTGGAGTCGGCAGTACCAAGGGGGTTTCATGTATCGAGCCTGCACAGCAGACTCTCAATCCTCCTGCTGATGACGTCATGGCGTGCGGCTCTTTTCTATGCACATCCTCTCGCAATGAAGGCAACTACAAGTGCGCACGTTGGTGATGCCCCAGCCCGTCCCTCAGGAACTAGGGGCTTTACGCACTGCCGGCCCTCGTCACGATAGTTATTGGGAGAGCTGTATTGTTTCTGCGTCCTCCACGCATTGTGAACTGAAAAACCGTCAGCGTCGTGGAGTGTATTGCGGCAGCTAAGCATGCAAGGTGATGCCCGGTGGGGGGAATGTCCGGCGAAGTCGGAAAGATTGCTCGGTGTTTCGGTTCGGTGTGGCACCGAGGAGGAGATCTACGAAGAAGTCATCGAAGGAGAGACGAGTTTGTCGAAAACTGACCGGAGCTTTTGTATGAAACTTGCAGGAGAGGCGGACGGGGGCAGGAGGCATACCTACTCCACCCTCACTCGAAAATCTGTCGGTACAATCTCGAAAACAACGACGGATGAAAAACAACTTTGCTTTCAGACAAGAAACCGGAGATCGCCAACTCTAAAACCAAATGAGAAACGCCGGATGAGGTACGACTGGGGTCCAAAACGTGGGGGCGAGAACCTGACCGGAGATTCGCCAGATATATTAAACCAAGCGAAAAAGTCCGGACGTGGCGCGACTTGGGTCAAAACCCTGGGGCCGAGCATCTCTGGTCAAAATCGAATTAGGTTTGAGAATTTACGCAAAGACACGTCACGCCCTTAGAGGGCTTCAGAATCAATCCTCTCCGTGGTGGAGTATTGAGCTTTCGCAAATCGGCACCAGGGGATGCGACCGCTTTCGTCACATACGGAAGTCCGTACCATAGGTGCTTGTTTTTCTCGAGTTCCGTTGCGATCTCGTTCGGCAATGGGGTGGCGATGTTGTGTCTTGGTCAATTGAGTGGTCCGGTGGCTGACACTCCCGCAGCACATGTCACGCAAAGGGCATCGTGCATGCCAACCGTCTGTTGCTTCCGCAAGCGTGACCCCGGATTGGAGATCTTCGGCAAGTTTGGCAAGAACGTATTCGTGAGGGCATTGTACAGCAGTACCAATGCAGTGGTCCTTTCCCGCCGGGGCGTTTGCATTCTTGATCCCCAGGTAGCGCTGGCTGAGGCCGACTTCGCGCAGGCAATGGTAGCGAAATATGCCGTGGGGGTCAACTCTTGTTCGTCAGCGATACTCATCGGTCTCATGTGCGTTGGAGTCAAGGCCGGCGACGAGGTGCGGACATACAATCGGGGGACGAATGGCATGCAAACAAGACCGCAGTAGAAGCATGACGAACGGGGTTTCCTATCTACTCGACACCGTATCGAAAACACAAACATGAATGCAATAGCATATGCAGTAACCGCCTGGTTGTGTCAAGCCATTGAAGACCCGTACGAACACACCGGCGAGGAGGTCTTACCTGTCCCGAAAACCTACATCCCCGTATTTCTCGTGACACGATTCAGGTGCTGACCAACGCCTTCACGTTCACCGCTGTCCCCTCCACTATTTTGAGACTAGGAGCGAAGCCCTGTCTGGTGGAGTGCGGTGATAGGTACGTAATGATATGCTGTGCAGGAGAATCGCTGGTGGCTTGATTGTTGTGGGCCTTCTGGTATATCGTCGTCCTCCACGTTTCTACCATGCTGTAGCCTAGCAGCGGCAAGTAAACCATCACTTGAGGACCTTCTGCCTTACCGGGCATGCGCCTTACTTCCATTGCAGCGAATGACCCGCCAATCCGTACATTCCAGTTGTGGCGCTCTCCGCTAGGGCATCATATTTTTGTGGTCAAGCAAGTAACGTCAAGCTCAGGTCGGGGCTCAAATTCTTATTTCCTCGCCACCGTCGAGAACGGGCTATACATTTTACGCGTGTAGGTTCCACCGCTGAGGTGCGTTTCTGAAAAAAAAACACTTTTTCTCGCGAAACCCGAGCCATGAACTATTGCGGGCCTCAACTTTTCCGAGAGGTTCCAGCTCTTGAATCTCCAAGTGGCGTGTTTGATTGTATGGCTTAAGCGCGTAATTCGTGCATCCCTGCCGCTCGCCGAATGAGGCATTCTCACAGCCATAGCGCTGGCGGAGGGATGCCTGACTGCTTACTCTCAAGCGGTGCAAGTTGTATCAAGTCTCCTCCGCGCGATCGGCGACTGACGAAAGAGGCTCGGGAAGTGTGTCCGACATGTAGACACCTGTAGCGCCACCAGCACTGCCACCAAGAAAAATCAAGACTCGGACACTCAACAACAGGGACAGATTCTCAGCTTTATTTCGTGTCCATTCTGCTCTCGCAGCTGGACGATGGACCTTGATGATCTGGAAAAGAAGGCCAATGGGGGACGCGCCAAAGTTCTCCTCCTTTCGCACATGCGCGGGAAGGTGAGTGATGTTGGGGGCTCCTTCGGCCATAGTTCTGTGCGCATCCACTGCCGTGCACAAACCCGGCACTTGTCGCGATCCATTTTTTTCGCGTTCGCGGAAATGCTCGCTGAGACTTACCGTCGGCGCGATCGAAAGAAACCTTCTCGTCCACCTCTGACTCCCCGACCGCACCCCTTGCAGTACTCCCGACCACATCTCTTTGTTCCGCCGTGGTGTTCCGTTTGCACTCGCTGGCTGCTTTACATCTGACCCAATCCCAGGTGTGTGACATGGACCGGGTGTCGGAAATCTGCGAGAGACACCGCCTGACGTTGGTCGAGGACTGCGCTCACGCGGCCGGGGTCACGTGGCGCGGCCGGCAGCTGGGGTACCACGCCAAGGTGTGTCCGTCATAGATCGATCTAAGCGCCATCGTAACTCTTGTCAATTACTTTTCATCCAAGAACGTTCCATTGAATTTCCGCGTGGACAGGTCACAGGCCGCATTTCTCCCATCCACTAAACTTGGATTTAGAGTGCATTTGATTCTCCGTGCGACTCTCTCATTGTCGCAGCTCTCTATGCTCTTCCTGTCTCGTGCCCCGCGCGCGCACACACGGTCGCTCCAAAGTCGATCTCGCTGTGGACTTTCCAGCAACAAGCACGTACTGCGTCGATACATCTTTTCCTATCCTGCTGTTTGCGAAGGTCTGGCGATGTCTCTATCTCCTCTCTCTCTCTCTCTCTCTCTTTCTCTCTCTCTCTCTCTCTCTCTCTCTCTCT